TAACAACTTTTGATTAGTATAAATGGTTGAACGAGAGAAATATATCTATAAAAGATGACGGTCTAATGAAAATAGGTAAGAATTTGGTTGTAAAATTTGGTATATGCTTAATATGAAATTGCTTTAGTGGCTCTTCAGTTTTGTGGGATGTTAGTTTTTATTATTTATGTGTAACTGAAGAAACACATTAACCTTCCGATCGTCCGTTCTCGCCTCATTAATTCGAGCCTCTGGGTCGAGTCGTGACAAAAGTGGTATCAGAGTTTGGTTCCCACCAATAAGATATGAGTAGTACTAAAGAGTCATCAGATTGTTTATTAAATTTAAGAAAGTTGATATGATATAACTTATGAAATTTACAATATAGTATTTACTTTATTTCATGACCTAGAATGATCATGAAGATGTAGAAAGAGATGTGCCTAATAATGTTGTTAATTCTAATGCACTGACACAAATGGTACTGCAATGACTCAATTAATTCAAAACTCAAGAAATGAACCATTAGGAAGTGGCAGTAGCAATGACATGTCCATAGATAAGTATTTAAACTGTGACTCAATTAAGTTGATAACAAGTATATATGAACTAATTGTGGAGTAGTGACTCATTTACACTGAGGAGTATGAACTATGTGAAGCATATCAGGATAAGATAGTGAATTATGCTTCATAATACATAATAGGTTTGCCTCCTTGCACCAGCCTAAAAAATTTATCATGCATTTGACTCCTCGAAGAAAGAGGAACAAACCAATCTCCGAACACCTAAGTAAACTCCTCCCATTTGATCTATATGCTAGATATCCCTCCAAATTTATCCTGGTCATTACCTCTCCATCACCTTTAAGCCTCACCATAAAGTACAAATGTCGCTAATGAAACCTTTCTTTCATTTGGATAGAACATTCTCTCTAATATCTTCTCAATCTATAGAAACCAATTTTCTGCTTCAATTACACCTTCTACTCCATTAAACAATGGTGGCCTTATATCATGAAAAAACTAGGGGTGTCAATTCGGGTCAACCCGCCGGGTCGGGTCGAACCCGACCCGACCCGACCCGACTCGTATCTAAACGGGTCAACCCGAACCCGACCTGTTTTTACAAACGGGTCGTACATTTCAACCCGGACCCGACCCGGCAACCCGACCAGACCCGCGACCCGGCAGCGTTCTTCCAATCTCCTTTTTTTTTCTTACTCTTCAGTTTTTCTGCTCTTGATGATGCATTTGACGTGGTTGATGAGCTGAAGTACATGGAGCTTGGAAAGCAGGTGACCAAAGACAAGAAGCTGAGAAGGGTGCGTTCCATCATGAAATCCATGAAGAAAAAACTTGTCAAATTTGGCAAACGTGTTCTCAAAATTGATCCCACCTTGAAGCGACTGGAGACGGCTGTACAGAAACTTGATAAAGTTGCAACAACTGGCGTTGATACTTTCCTTCATCTTGTAAAACACGCAAAGCTTCAGAAGCAGCAGTTGAGCTGTACGGATCACGTGAAACAGGATCCTTGCCTAAAAATGATCTCATTGGGCGGGGCAAGGATAAGGAGCTTGTTATGGAGTGGCTGGGAATCCATCAAATGAGCATCGGGGAACTCATTTGTACAGAAACATTTCTCTATTTTCTTAAATTAAACGGGTCCGGTAACCCACCGGGTCAACCTGACCCGACCCGTTTTATCAAACAGGTCAAATCTGTGAACCCGAACCCGACCCGTTTATCAAACGGGTCGGGTCCAACCCGAATTTTCCGGGTTGGGTCCGGGTCGGGTTGTCGTGTCGTGTCAGATATTGACACCCCTAGAAAAAACTTTAAATACTTACCCAAGACATGCCACTGCTACTATCACTTCCTGATGGTTGATTTCTTGAGTTCTAAATTAAATGAGTTATTGTTGCAATCATATTTGTCAGTGCATCAGAATTAACAATAACATTAGGCACAATCCTTTCCATATCTTATTCAGAATCATTCAAAGTCCTAAAATAAAATAAAATAATATTTTATAAATTCCATAAGTTATATCAGATCAACTTTCTTAAATTCAATAAGCAACCTAATAGCTCTTCAATACGATTTATATCCTAATAGGGGCCCTGATACCACTTTTGTTATGACCCAGTTCGAAAACTCGAATTAGCAAGGCGGGAATGGATGGTTAATACATTTATTCAATTACACATAAACAGTAAAAACTAACATCCCACAAAACTAGGGTTTGTCAAAACAGTTCTTCTGGTAGGGTTCAGGTTCAACTCGAACTTGACTCGCTATCAACTGACCTGACTCGAACTCAACCCAGTTATGAAAATGGGTCGGGAATCCAAACCCAACCTGGTTGAAGTTCGGGTCAACCTAAATTGACTAGCCAACCCAGGCTCGATCTGTTCGCTTGTTTGTCTATTTGGACAATCGCTACGAAGGTAGCTATCTTTCCTCTATTCACGAGCTTATTTGGCAAAATCCTATAAATCCGCCGAATTTTTCGAGTTCTGGATGTAACGATGACGATGAGAGCTTGCTCGCTGCGAAGGTAGCTATCTTTCTTTCGCTTATTCGGCCAAATCCTGTTAATCCGCCTTATATTTCCTCTTTGGGGTGTAACGATGGACGACGACAATGGGAGCTTGCTCTTAGTAGCTGCAAAGGTAGCTATCTTGCATCGATTCTTCCGTTCGCACGCTTATTTGGCCAAATCATGTAAATCTGCCAAATCTTTCCTCTTTCGAACAATCAGATATAAATACGGCGATGAGAGCTTACATGCTGCGAACGTGGTGATCCGGGTCAACTTGGGTTGATTTTGGGTTGTCGGGTCAACCTGAACTTGACCCGATTTTACAAACAGGTCAAAATCCCAAACTTGAACCCGACCCGTATGGAAAACGGGTTGACTCAAACATGAAATTTTCAGGGTCTAGTTCAGGTCGAGTTTCGGGCCAGGTCAGATTTTGACACCGCTACACAAAATTAATTAGCTACTAAAATAATTTCATATTAAGCATATGCTGAAATCATACAACCAAATTTTTTTCTATATTCATTCGACCGTCTTCTTCTGTAGACATATTCCTCTCTTTTAGACATTTATATTTATTAGAAGTTTTACTTAAAAATTAGTTTAACAGTTTAAGTTACATGATAACATATGCATGTTCCTTTTCATCACTTCAATTAATATATACAACATCCTATATTCTGAAAATTCTTATAATTTGACTTTTCAAATAATATTTTTTACCTATCTCATTTATTCATTTTCATTTTTTAATTTACTCAATTTTTCTTTTATTTAGTATAGGAGCACCGTCTAAAATTTGTACCAATAAAGAAACAACCATTTAAATTCTATTTAATGTATAGAACATTGTGTCCCCAGTCAGTACCATAAGAGGTTGAACTCTTATATTCATGTACCTTTTCCCTTTTTATTTATACTTTTGTTTTTACATATTATAAGTTATGAGTACTAAGCAGTTGTTAAACTTTCATCATTTTAAACATAATAGGCTTTCAACATAAATAAATAAATAGACATAATTTAGTAGCTCAAAATGAAATGATAAATAAAGAATATAATTGTTATATAATAACTATAACTTTCCGCTTTGATTTTCTCAATTGCTTAATTGTATGCATTAAATATTAAATAACCATTTATGATACTACATGTGATAATTGCAATGAATTAAAAGGAAATATTATAAAAACAATTGTAATTATCCACTTGATTACTTTTATGCTTCAATTTACTTCCAAATCTCGAGCTTGATATAGACTTTCAATACTCGTCCTAGTTCAATTATGAAATCTGTCACTGTTCAAAATAACACCGTGACTTCGTAATTAACACTAAAATCTAATTTGCATGTCTCAAATATCATCAAACACAACATTAAATTTTCTGACATCTCTTAAGTTAAAACAAAGTATTTCAACTATTTTCAAATAGGACTTTTAACTAATTTAACAATATTACATAATATTGAATGACTCTAAATCCTTTACAATTTCCATTACACTATCCACCTTACTCTCTAACGTAATATGAAATTAAAATTTCTCAAATCAAAGATAATTACATCAATAAATTTTTTTCGTCCTTCAGTGTCAAATCAAAGCTTGCTTTGCTTGGACTCTTACAATCGATAATAATATTTTACTTATTCAAGTAGAGGAATCCAAATATAAATGCCTATCAAATTTTAACATAAATCGATAATTTAAGCACTTGCTTTTTTCTCTACCGTTAGAGAGTGGAGAAATCCAAAAACCCCAAATTCTTCCCCTTCCTCTTCCAAACTTTCTTCCTATGCACTCAGTTTATATATCAACCATTTCTTAGGTTTAAATCAGGGAAGAAATTCCCAAAAAAAAAAAAGCACAAACTTATCTTTCTTGTGCTTCTTCTTCTTCTCGGCACAATTTCTCTAAGCTAAAGCTTCTCACGATCATTTGCTTTCACTGAAGTGAGTGAATTGAAGTTATCTTATGTGAGGAGTCACAATTTTTCACTCCCGTACGCATTTCCTCGCTCAAAACAGCCATCCAAACCCGCCAGGCGTGCTCCTGCTTGTGTGCATTCCGACTTGCTTTGCCCGCTCGTCGCCTGATTTGTCTGTTGTTTAGATAAGAGCTGATTCAAATGAACCAGCTGAACCGGTTCTTACAATAGGGGTAGCAGCAAAATAGTGGAACTACATCAGTGCATGGTGGCAATAGGAATAGTTTCAAGTAATAAGCCATTAGCATTTTCAACATCATACGTATTGATTGGAATTTAACGGACTGAGTCAAAACCATACAGTAATGAGTTAAACATAACAAGCTACTCAAATTACTAGAGAATATATGCAATTTAAATAGGAGCAAAAATCATTGATATGTTTTTACATTAACTATAAACTAGGAAGCAAAAACTAACAATCAATACACATGATATGCATGCACAATAAAGACAAACTTTCATACTTGCATCAAACTACAACTCACCTTGTAGTATCCATTCATAACTTGTGGCCCTCTGACTTTGACTATGCCTTTTGAACCATCTGGAAGAGGTCTACCGGTTTCTAAATCCACGATCATGATTTCTGTAAAGTTAAGTGGGTACCCGACAGTTCCAAGGACCTTCAAAATTTTAAATGAAAACTGATATTCAAGAGCAAATGGCCAAGAAATAACAAATTAAAACATACTGTAAAGGCTATGCCCTAAGTTGATCTGTATTAAGATAGATCAAGTCAAAATAATCAAAAAGAACAAAATAATTGCTCTTGGTATTTACAGCAATGTTTCTTCTTCTTCTTGTTTTTTGGCTAAGATTTCAATCACAATAAGCTTTTCAATGTAAAAATAATCTGCAATTTATATAGAATGCTCAATGCCAACAAAAGAAAAGATTATAACAAAAATTTCTTTTTTACTGTTAGAAGATCAAGAAAATATTTGTACAGTCGGTGTTAACAATCTTTTGACTAAGATATTCCTTATAAATATAGAAATGTCGCAAAAGCGATTCATTCAGATTTCTTCAATATCTGTGACCTTTTAATATATTAGGTATCAATTCACCTTGACATAAATAGGAACTTATAATAGCTTCATTATCTATTTCAGCCTTTCTACAGCGGGTGCAGCATTGTTGGTGTTTTCTTGTAGGTCCTATTATTGCAGTTCAACTTGGAGACTTTTCCTGTGATCCAATGGGATGTAAAAACTGTAGGATTTGTTATGGCTTCCATGATTGTGGCAAGTAGCGGAATGCTGATGGTTGTGATTCTTCGACGGTTCCTTTAGAGCAAGTTTGACTCCCTTTCTATTTCTATTTTTGTGACAACCCAGCGAGGTAAACCCCTTAAAAGCTTAGTGAAACCTAGGTCCTCAAGCCTTATGGATGCGGTTGACGCACGATGTTTTCCAAAACCCCAGAACAAACCCATGTTTGTTGTCCTCTTCGCAAAATGGTGGAAATCCGGCGATTTCCACTTGTTTGCTCTCACGTGAGAGCCCGAGGAGAATATCGATGCGCGTAGGGTGGATTGGTGTCCAATGCCCCCAAATGCATGTTTGTGTATTCATATTGAGCTCAACACCACCTATAATCCAACCTTAGGTTAGGTGTCATTATTCAATGTCAAATCGAATATTAGCTTGGATATACCCTAAGTCTTGCAAGCTATATTCAGTCCTACCCCATGCATGTGTAGGTCCCCAAATGTTGCATGATGCACTCACCTTTATCCCACTCTTGCTTGTAATGACAAAATTGACATAGAACTAGGAGAACTCTCATGCTAACGTGATGGCTTTTAGAAGTTGGTGAATGGTTAATGGATGTGTTTGGTTGGAAAAGACACTTTTGGTATCAAATTATTGTGAGGTTTCCCATAAACGCTCAAAGGTTTATGTTCTAAACTTCACAATTTCTACAATCAACCAAATCAATGATTGGCTTCTTCACTAAAATTGGAGCATTCAATGATGATCATTGTTTGTTTACACCCTAAACATTTGAAACATGGAAAATCAACCAAATGGACTCAATTAATCTCAAAGTGGGCTTGAAATATGACATGGGTCCTCAAAGGCCCATAAGCCCTTATGCTCAAGGTTATCTAACTCCATTTGTGTAGTTTTCCAAATTAAATTGTTGGAACGAGGTAATCAAACCCCTAAATGTAAATCACATGCATGCACTCCTAGGTTATTCTCGGATACAAAATTTGATCCTAAAATCTCCTAGAAGTCGTAGGAATAAATCTCTCCTATCCAAATCTACAAATCATGACAAAATTGATTAAGGAATCCCTCTAAAGCTCTAGGAAATCAATCTTCCCTCTCCAAATTGAGTCCAAAATACTCTAAAAGACATAGGGAAGTTCCTTCCAAGTGCGCATCTCCTTCATGTGTGGTATTTTGGAGCCTCCCCAAAGTTTTAAATGTTTCATTACATGAATCATCAAGACTTTAGGAACAAATCCTAAGTATTTCTTTCATTTCCTAATAATACAAAATTAGCAAATGAACATGTCTCCCCTCTCATGAATGATGATTTGAGTTCCCTCAAATCTTCAAACATATCATTGCATGAGCTCTCCAATCTTAGGACCAAATCCTAGGTTGATGATTTGTTTGTTGATGCGCCAAAATCAACAAACAATCATCTCTCCTCCCTCATACATTGCATGTCGAACCTCTTCAAGGTTCCAAATGTCATATTACATGAGTCTTTTTAACTTAGAAATCAATTCTAAGTCACCCATCCCTTGTTTGTTGAGACAAAATCAACAAACAATCATCATCCCTCTCTTGCATGATGATTTGAAGTCCTCTGTGACTTCAAAACATGTCATCGTATGAATCCCTTGAACTTGAGACCAGATCTCAAGCTCTTCTCTCTCATTTTCTTAGGCACAAATTAGGCAAATGAACATCTTCTCTTTGAACACCAAATTTTCAAAGAAATTTCTCTCGACTTGCAATCCACAAGTTCTTTGTTGCTTCTCCCTTCTACAACTCAAAAGTTTTAGAAACCCCTCTCATTCTCCTAAACCCAAAGTTAGGAGAGTATTTATCTCTCTTTGAACATCAAATGTTCAAGGACCAATCAAGAGCTTGCAACCTAGAAGTTGTACACTTCTCCCTTCCTTCCATAATTCAAAGGTCGTAGGAGACTTACGTATTCATGCAACGCATGGTGAGTGAATCAAATATACACTCAAATCAATTTACTTGTTAAGCCCAAATCAACAAATAATTTCATCCCAAGCATAGGAATCAAAGTCATCTCCAATTCACCCTTCCAATCCAAGTTAGAAGGATAAAGTCCTCTCTTTGAATGCCATAGATGCTCAAAGAATATTTGTGACTTTGCAACCCATAAGTTGCATTTTCATTCCATCTTACAACTCAAAAGTTGTTGGAGATTCCGTTATTCACTCAACCCATGTTGAGTTGAACAAATTTACACCAAATTATTTATTTGTAGAACCCAAAATTAACAAATATTACTACAATAAATCATATATTCCCTCTTGTTCTTTCAATCCAAGTTAGATGAATAACCCTTTTCCTTGGACACCCAAAAGTCCAAAGAATCTCTCATAATGTGTAATCAAGCTTACATATCACATTCATATGTTTGATTTACCTACATTTAGCAAATCAAACTTTCATCATTGAAAATGAAAACTCAATAATTCATCATGTTATTTGCTTAACCTAAACTTCGCAAATGAACCCCCCACCTTGAATACAAAAATTCAAGGAGACATCCTCTTGATTTGTAGCCTCAAACCTACAATCTTCCCTCACTTCTATGGGCTCCAAAAGCCCTATTAAACTTCTAACCTTGGCTCAAAAGCTATAGGTTTCTTCTCTTTCTCCTATAACTTTCAAGTTACAGGAGATCCCTCTCTCTGTCTCTCTCTTTAGCTCCAAAAGCTAAAGAGAACTCCCCAATATTTAGCCCAAAAGCTAAAAATTAGATTCCTACATTCCCCCTCTTTAGCTCCAATAACTAAAAATGATCTTCCAACATTTAGCTCAAAAGCTACATTTTGAACGCCTCCTTATAGATCAAAACTCTAAGTAAACTCTATCATTTAACTAAAATCAAATGATTCCTCCATATGACATTTTGATGTAGACAAGGGGGGGGGGTCAACTCATGTAAAAAATAATTAGATTTTTGGCTTCCCTTGAGTCTACTAGCTCAATCAAAATTGAGCTGAAATTTTAGCTCATTTATGAGCTGGTCTTTAGTTCACTTATTGAACTAAGGGTTAGCTCATTATTAGCTATGATTTTAGCTCATAGTTACCTTATATCAAATGTTCTTTTTATGTTTTTTATGTTAGTAATCATGTTTGTCTCTTGGAATTCCAAACCGACTTTTGGAATTCCAAGATTTTCTTTTCCCATGAGGTGGCTCCTTGGCTTCCTCCATAGCCTTTAGTATTTTGTGCATTTGCCCCCTTGGATTCCGGACGGCTGCTTGTTTTCCCGTGCTGGGCTCTTTCCCGTGATCGTGCCCCTTGGTTCCGGGCAATCTCCTTGGTTCACGTGGATGCCTCTTCGGTTCCTTGGCTTGGGATGTTTTTTTAGGTATTTTAATGCTATGTGATGTTTAAAATTCCTATGGGAATTTATTAGGTGTCTCTTGATATTCCTCTTTCATACCTATAAATATGAGAGGATTTGTAATGTTTAAAAAAAAGAAAAAAAGTGAATGATATGTTATTTTTGGAAAAGCTATAACCTGCGGGTTTGCTTTGAAAATCCTGCGGGCTCTTTCCACCCTTCTTTCTCATCCCCTCCGGAAATCTTGCGGGCTCTTTCCAACCGTTCTTCTCGGGCTTCTAACCTCTTTCGTCTCTCCGCAAGTGCCACTCCACATGTATCCTTCTTCTCTAAGTGAAGCAACTTTAGGGTGTCGTCAAGTGATTGAGTCAAAGTTTGTAAGTCGATTAAATTTTGCAAGAGTCATTGTTGTAAGTCTTTTGATTTCTAATTTTTTACATTTTATTTGAAATGTAAGAGTTTGTTCTTCCCTTTTCTCGTCTTTAGTCATTTTCGACGGTTGAAGTCCAGTCTCCTTATTTGTGGGCGAAGGGTATAGGCACCCTATATTTTTTGCCTGCATCATTTGGTATCAGAGCAAGTTAGGAAGTCCTAGGTTTGTGTTTGTCAAGTTGTAGTTTTTCAAATTTGTAAGTCTGTCGTGAGTTTTATTATGAGTCTTATAATTTTTGAGTCTTTTTTGAGTCTGTCAAAAAATGGAAAATACCCAAAATATGGCTACATTCAAGGAAGAAAGCAATCAAAATAATCCTGATGTCCCACTTCCAGTGGACAGATGGATTCCTACAGAAGGTGACTCAACGGATCCACTTCAAGATCATCTATACAAACTTCAGTATCACATGTTCCTATGTGATCAAAAATTCTAAAAGTACAAAAGGTATCTACAACAATAGTACGAAAAGTAACAGAAAGAAATTTTGAAGAGATTTGGTGAGAAACTCAAAGAGCTGGATGAACAGTATGCACCTGATCAAGGGAATCAACAACCAACTCATCAGGAGCTGAGTTCGCAAGAAGGGGAGTCTGATGTAGACAAGGGGGGGGGTCAACTCATGTCAAAAATAATTAGATTTTTGGCTTCCCTTGGCTAGCTCAATCAAAATTGAGCTGAAATTTTAGCTCATTTTTGAGCTGGTCTTTAATTCACTTACTGAACTAAGGGTTAGCTCATTATTAGCTATGATTTTAGCTCATAGTTTTTTATATTAAATATTCTTTTTATGCTTTTTGTGTTAGTAATCATGTTTGTCTCTTGGAATTCCAAACCAGCCTTTGGAATTCCAAGATTTTCTTTTCCCATGAGGTGGCTCCTTGGCTTCCTCCATGGCCTTTAGTATTTTGTGCATTTGCCCCCTTGGATTCCGGCCGGCTGCTGGTTTTCCCGTGCCTGGGCTCTTTCCCGTGACCGTGCCCCTTGGTTCCGGGCGGTCTCCTTGGTTCACGTGGATGCCTCTTCGGTTCCTTGGCTTGGGATGTTTTTTAGGTATTTTAATGCTATGTGATGTTTAGAATTCCTATGGAAATTTATTAGGTGTCTCTTGGTATTCCTCTTTCATACCTATAAATATGGGAGGATTTGTAATGTTTAAAAAAAAAGTGAATGATATGTTATTTTTGGAAAAGCTATAACCTGCGGGTTTGCTTTGGAAATCCTGCGAGCTCCTTCCACCCTTCTTTCTCATCCCCTCCGGAAATCCTGCGGGCTCTTTCCAACCTTTCTTCTCGGGCTTCTAACCTCTTTCGTCTCTCTGCAAGTGCCACTCCACCTGTATCCTTCTTCTCTAAGTGAAACAACTTTAGGGTGTCGTCAAGTGATTGAGTCAAAATTTGTAAGTCGATTAAATTTTGCAAGAGTCATTGTTGTAAGTCTTTTGATTTCTAGTTTTTTACATTTTATTTGAAATGTAAGAGTTTTGTCCTTCCCTTTTCTCGTCTTTAGTCATTTTCGTCAGTAGAAGTCCAGTCTCCTTATTTGTGGGCGAAGGGTATAGGCACCCCTATATTTTTTGCCGGCATCACATTTAAAACACATAACCTTTAGATTCCCTTAAGAGTTTTCTATCTATTGAAGTTTATCCTACTATATTGGATGAATTTCACCAAGACCAAAGTATAATCGTTAGGTATGATTACCTTACCCTAGTAGTTAGACATTTCTATTTTATCCAAACATTAAGAGAACTCTAAAATCCTTAAAAAAAAATTATCTAAGTTTCTTTTGATTCAATGATTAATCATCTCCCCTAAAAGGTGGGATGCCTACATCATTGTATCTTAAGACTTCATAAGTAGCAGGCTTGCCTCAAAGCAAATAGTAACTATTTTATGGGTTCTTCATAACACTTATAAATGTATTTAATATGAAATACTTAATATCTAAATAAAATATTTAAGCCACAAACAACTTAAAGAGAAACCTTGATTTAAGATTAAATATCTTCATTCCAAAATAAAATCAAACATCTCTTATAGTGACATGTCACACAAGTCTCATACACTTAGGTATACAACCCCTTAGGCATGCTAGGATTAGATTTTTTTTTTGCACATGTGTTTGATGCTTTAATGTGATTGCATTTGGATTGTCTACGTTGTGGGCTTTTGCCCTTAATTATATAATGTAGAACATATACATGTTCTTCTTGCAGGTGACCACGTTCAAAAAGGGAGAGCAATAAATAAAAATACTTGCATGACAAGTACCGCGGTAGGCTCTTAGGACAAAAGTAAGTTTTCTACCCGTTAAAATGTAAGCATCTAAAATCAAACTAGGATTCATATTTTTCAAACAAAGAAAGAAAAATTGCATAGCTCCTTTCAAGGAGTCAAGTTTTTCAAAACTAAAAATGATTATGCATAGCCAGTGAGTCTTATGTAAAACAGGCTTCACTCAAGGAGCAGATAGCCAAATATCTATATTTGTGAGTCGACATTCTGCATACTACTCAATGGTCAGACATTTTGGCTTAAAAGCCAAGTTGTAAGCTCTATTTTCTAAACAAAAATATTTCCTACTCTTCATATGCATTGAGACCAAATATCATACTTTTAAAATTGATTATGTGGGTTAGCTGGTAGCCCTTTCCAGACAGGATAATAAATCCAGAGGTCGGGCTAGCTATGCCTCATGTGAAGTGTAGTTCGTAAGTCCCTTGCACTCCGTTAGACTTATGTTTGAGACACTATTCCTCAGTAGACTTCACCTTAGTTTTAGAATCCATGACAGTGATTGATTTCAATCACCTCATAAGCCCTCATCTTCCAAGCATTTTCTCCAATATGTGTTGTTAGAATGTAAGCCTCAACATTATATTCAAAATGATCAACTTATATAAAATTAGATTCTAAAAAGTAAAGTCCAACATAGGCTAGCCCGAGCACCTCTAAGATTTCTTAGAATCAAATGCTCTTACTTTACTCCTTTGGCCCTCATTCCAAAATCTGATTTAAAGTTAATATTTTCGTCCTTAAAATTCCTAAAGACCAACTCTTTAAACAAGAATTTCAAGGATTTTAAAATCAAACTTTAACCAATATTTAGATGATTTTCAAAAGAAAGAAAACCACTAGTTTAATAAAAAAAATTTTCTCAAATAACAAATGCTTGAGATGCAATTAGCCATAGGGGCTTATCCCTATGGGGGCATCTGTAACCCAGAATCATTCAACCAAATATTGAATGAGAGAATCTCTGTTAAAATTATAAATTTTATTATTGAATCCATAAGCCATAAGAAAATGATATTTTTATCCTTTAGGATAATATATCATATTTTTTATGTTGGGCTCAATCACAAAATATGCAATCTGTTGAGGAAGACAAAAAAAATCTCCAATAAGTATTGTACATTTAGTTTGTGAAACTTATTGACATATTGCTAGCTTCCACTTATTACTTTATTTGTTACATTTATTGCTGGCATTGTGTATAAACAGTATTATTGGTTCAACATTATTTTGTGTTTGTGTGGATTTGAATTGAGAACTTCAATGAAATTTTATAGAGTTAAATAATTTCACATCGAATGCCCCTCCCCCTCCCCCTTTTTTTCGTGTGCCTTAAAGTTATAGATTAGTCATTGGTTTTATGTGGTGATTGAAACTATATGAAATGAGATACATACCGGTTGTTGAAGAGTGAACCTGATAGTTGATGAAGATTTATGTTCATTGTTGATTTTTTATTGAGATTTTAAATTTTTAGAGATCATTAAATTATCAATTCAAGTAATCATATTTGTTGTCCAAGCATTAAACACAACCAATCTTTACAAAATTATGATTTAGTAACTACGGATTTTAATTTTTTGCATTTTTTATCTTGCTTCTCATCTTGTCTTGCATTAGAAACCGTAGACCCTTAACTGTCCTACATTAAGAATTGGTGGATGAAATCGCTCAACTATTTTTTAATGGTTTGGTTCCTTCATTCTTCCTTAGCATGAGATGCCTCAAGCAGCATGCAAGGTATGCAATAGCATTGAAGACAAGTTCCATAATTACAAGTGATTTATCTTATTTTATCCAAAAGCGAAATGCAACCTGGGATATTTGCTAAGAATTTTTTTTTTTTGTTTATTTTGTTCCTCAAAATTCAATAAGGAAACACTACTTAAGCAAAATATTCTAAAATAACTCATAAGAATATAATTTTAGAATGCATTGATTCCTTAAAGCAAAGGTTCTCTAAACCAAGCAAGCACTTCTTAAACAAAATCACTTACAATGTTATCAGGCCTTCGACAAGCCACAACAGGCGAGGTTTCTGTGAGACCATAACCATTTTGCAACTTCACACCAATAGCCTACAAAGTCCAAAACGAATCAGCTAAAGAAAAAGCCTGGAAATCCACAAAAAAAGAAATTTTTTTAACCTCAAAAAATTTGTCAATATGCAATGGTAAACTCCCACCACCACTTATACCAGCCTGCAACATGTAATACAAAGTTCTGCTATTTATTCAAGTTAAAGACCATAAAATGTAAGCATTAAATTGAGACGACAGGAAAAGTTCCTGTAGTCCCAAAAATAAAATAAAATACAAACAATACTTTTGATATTCCAATTGCTGAGCGCATTTGGCAAAAGACTAGCTTCATCCCCAGGATATGGAATGGCCACAAAATGGCTGCAACAACTCTTCCCCATAAATTGCATAATAAAGCCACAATAGGTGGATCTTGATTTTTCTTCCTTGTCAATACTTTCCCCTTTGACCAAATCAACAAAAAAATAAAAGATGGTTAAAATCAAATAAATTATTTTGCTTCTGAAAATGAATTAGAGTGAACAAGCAAGCAATATAAGGAATATTATTGAAATTTCTAAGTGGTGACATGTCAAGTTCGAAGATCCCATTTAAAATCCATTGGCAGTTAACATTTGATACATAAGTCAAATGCAGGCAGATTCAAACCTCACAAATCCTCTTTGCCTCCATGTATAGAAGGCTGATCCTAATAAGTGACAGTGCAACAAACTTGCGAGCAGCAGAACTTGAAGATATTTGTTTGTGGATTGAACTGCAGAGATAAAAAAGTAACCTGTAGTCGATCCAGAAATAGATAGTACCTTGAAGTTGACTACACAAAGCATTTGAATTTGTATAAAGAGAAAAGAGTTGGTGAAATAAGTTCCTTCAATTATGCAAAAACACTGAAAACCAGAATCCTTACTTGAATTTAACATGTACTTAAGGAAAATTTTAAAATTGAGACTTGTCCACAAAGGAATAAAAGAAAATCAGCTTTCAACCATCTGGTGAAAATAAAGCTGATACAAGCATATAATCTGGCCATCTTGGAGGTCATTCAAGGACATAGCCTATATGTAATTGAAAGTCTTATGCAGAAAAGTATTTAAACTTTTGTAATGAAACTTTTGATTTTTTAGAATTCGGGCCTAGAGTAATGATATAATACCCAAAACTTTTCAAGAAAAAAAGGTAAGCTTATTTTTTTTACAAATCATATCCCATTTTTCGCGCAGTCCTAAATTTAGTGAAATCATTTTTATTTAAAACTACACCTCATTTCGATCATTTAGATGCATAAGAGAATATATGAATAACCAACATAAATCAATTTATGCATATAATTACATTTCCAAAAAATAATTTTAATTTTACTGCTCATTTCTTTAATCTACTGTTGCCACTTTAAATTCCTGCTTACAATATTATTAATAAAAAAAGGATTACGGTGGGGGAACTCAAATTTTATTAGATTTGATATAAAATCTTTTAACTTAAATATGTTTTAAGACTTGCCTAAGCCATTTTCTCAAAGGGCCATGAGTGAAGAAAACGGAAGCACTGAAGCAAGGTACTGTAGCGACATTCATTTTGCCGTGGCATGTGCCGTAGCAAAAAGAAAAAACTGAGAACGTAATAGGAAAGGAGAAGTAAAAAGGGAAAGAAAAGTAAAGAAAGGAGATAGAAATTAGGTATGAAAGTTTTTTTCGTGTTTGATATATGTTGTGGGAATAAAAAATTTGCATGAGGAGAAATATAATTGAGATAAAATTTTATTTTTGATATTTTGTTGTAAATTGGATTTCTAAATTATGGATTGTTTATAATTTGTTAAAATCATGATTTATTTAGGTTGTTTATTAAAAAAAAGTCAGGATATTCTAAGGGATCACATCCATCCTACTAACCCAGAAAATAAGGTGAGATACTCAATCTCTAATAAAAAAAGCAACAAACTTATATATATATATATCATATTTAATTATAATTAATAATAATTAATTATTTATAAATAACTATTAATTATAAATATAAAACATGATCAATTATAATTAGTGAAACCTAATTATAATTAATAATGTTTAATAATAAAAAGAAATAAAAACTCCCTCCCTCATATTCTCTCTGTTTTGGCACATCTACAGGATTTGGCCGAAGAAGTGCACGCGAATGGTATAATTTTACCTTCACAGCAAGCCAACTCCTGTTGTCACTCCCGATCAGAATGTTGTGACTTCCGAACCGAGAGAAAGGGGAGGCCGCCGAAGGCATCGGCAAAGGAGAGGAAAGTTTCGAATAGGTTGATCTCTCCTCTCTCTCTCTCTCTCTCACTCTTTCTCTCGGCTTGTGACTATATGGAGATAGTGTCACGACCCGGCCCGGTTAGCTCGCAAGGGCGAGGCAGGAACAGAGGTCGGACATGATGAGAATAAACTTTCAAAGCATAACATCAAATCATTTTAACATAAACCAAACATCTTCAACTATATAATGAAAGAGCCACTAAAGTAAATCCAAGTAGAATTTTCATTTTTCATTCATCTTTCAAAAGAAATATGTACATAGAGAGTTCTTCCAAAAGAAAGGATCCAAACAAATCTAACCCTCACAAAAAGAAAAGTCTACACATACAACCTTCTATCATCAAAATAACAAAACTCAAAAGAACCTGCCGCTCGTTGTCTCCCTACGACGGTAAGTGTGCGGTGGTTGGTCTGCCATACATCCTTTTCTAGATCCTCCTGAAAAGTGTTCTCATAACAAGGATGAGTCATAACTCAATAGGTGCGAATGGAATTCAAATAAACTTAGAATCAAAAGAAGAAAACTATATCATGTTTAGATATTTTAACAAAAGAATCATCAACATAAAACAACTTTAGCTTTAAGGAAATGCATACTTTTACCATTACCTTCAAATGCTTATTCCTTCCATAACATTTCCTTTCTTCTTTTTTTTTAAAACATTGTGCCTCAATTGACAATCTCAAATGCATATAACATGAGTATGAAAAGTTCATAATAGCTTAATATGAAAATATAACACCCGTCTTGAAAGTATCACTTGTACTGATCAGGTACATAAAATTGGTCATTCTTTTACCATTGGTTCATAAAAATCATCCTTTATCATGGCTCATAAGAGCCTCCTTTACCATTGCTCAAAGGAGCATCCTTTACCATGTGATACTTCCACATCAACATGCACATACACTTAATACTTTCATAATCATAAGAGATGCTTTATGTAACTATTCATAAACTATGCGAGTGTATGTTTCCATAGAGATATGCATGCTTGTTATGGTCATGTGTGCATTTGCATGTAAAGAGGAAAAACATGTGTGGTAAGAGTAAAGAAATGAGCATGGAATTCATTTATGAGTTGTACATTTGCATAAAGAGAACATTTGCATTTGCTTCAAATATCCAAAACTTCCAAGGAAACATAAGTCATAAAAGTGTCATAATTAGCATAAAAGAAATTGTAATTTCTATGTAATTGCATGAAAGTAAAGTTTTCTAAATTTAGAAGAATATCCATTCCACCTACCTCAATTTGTACACCACAAGGAGATCCTTCAAAAGTCCTCACGCCCCTTTTCCTCTTATGAAATCAAACTCTACAAGTGGCAAACATAAGGTGTAAACATAAGTTTCCTCCCTCAAACCTTAAAAGAAAAACCCTAGGAAAAGCATGTAGCTAATCAACACATTAGGCATTGGTTTTCTATAAAACCCCTCACTTAAGCCATGCTAATACCACTTTATATACACTAGAATTCGGATTTCATCCAAAAAAACTAATTCAATTCTTTGCTCACCACAATCACACAACCCTCCTTTCTCCCCTTTAGACTTAAGTTACCAAACAATCATTCATTGGATTTTTCTAATTTAAAATTTAGAAAACAATGATTCTAGGCTAAAATTCTTGTTTAAAAATCTCCCTAAATAAAAAAAGAACAACACACTCAAGGGGTTTCTTTTTTTCATGATTTTTGGAAAAACCCTAAGTTTAGGGCATGCAAAAATATATCCTAAAAAGAATTCGTCTTCACAAAAAAAGTTCCTAATCTCAAATAGAAACTTTTCTACAAAGGCACTTTGATAAAAAAACAAAAATCGAATAAACCCTAGATTTCAAAAATCCATATTTTCATAAAAACAATACACATTAGGGTTTAGAAACATCACACTACCCTTCCCTAAACTTTTCTCAAAGAAATTCCATGTTTTCTCAAAACCCTAGTTTTCATTTCTTAGAGAAAACTCAAGGGAAGAAGGAGAAAACTCAAGCAAAACACATACCTTAGTCTTCCCTTGGATTTCCCTACGTGTTCCTCCACAAACGGTTGCCGGAAATCGCCTGTTGGATCGCTGGAACCGCCTCCTACCAGACGCCCCTCCTTCCTCTCTCAGCTCGATTCGGCCGAAGGAAACGAATGGGGACCGAAACATTCGGTCCCCTACTTAAAATGGAACACTCTCATAAAAGCCCAATTACATAAAAGCCCTTACTTAAGTAATTTCGGCCTTTTAAAAGCTTAGGGGTAAAGTTGTCATTAAGGGTTTTCAATAAATTTTAATTCCCAAAATACACAAAATTTGATATGGGTTCGATACATCAAAACGATCAGAATTTTGCGCTCTATTTTATAAAATTATTCCCATCAAAATCCGACAACTTTGAATTTTTCACTTAAAACTCATCATAGCGCTTTGAAAAGCGTACGAGGTCTAAAATGGCATTTTGCGGGTTTTACAATTCTCCATCCCTTAAAAAAATTTCGTCATCGAAATTTAAGACAAGCTTAAGAAATCATACCTTAGTCAAAAAGGAGAGGGTAACTCTCCCTCATTTCTGATTCCTTCTCCCAAGTAGCATCTTTCTCAGATCCATGCTTCCAAAGAACTTTAACATAAGGAATCTCTCTGCTTCGAAGCTGCTTAACATCATAATCTATGATCTTCTCAGGCTCATCTATAAGAGTCGGATTTAGTTGGATATCTATTGATTCAATACTGATCTTCTGAGCTTCATCTGCAATGTATTTCCTCAAAGGAGAGATGTGGAATACATTATGTACTCCACTCATGTGAGATGGAAAAATCAATCTGTAAGCCACACTTCCTACTCTCTCTGATATTTCAAAAGGGCCAACATACCTTGGACTCAGTTTTCCACTTTTGCCAAATCTCTTCACACCTTTCATAGGACTAACCTTGAGAAATACAAATTCTCCAACATCAAATTCAACTGGTATATGTTTGTCATCATAGTACTTCTTTTGTCTATCTTGCACAGCCTTCAATCTGTCACGAATCAGTCTTATATTTTCAGTAGCATCATCTACTAAATCGGCTCCAATGATCTTTCTCTCCTGCCTCAGCCCAACATAAAGGAGTTTGACACCTCCTTCCATACAAAGCTTCATAAGGTGTCATACCTATACTTGCTTGAAAGTTATTGTTATAAGCAAATTCAATCAGTGGAATGTGTCTCCCATTTGCCACCAAAATCTAATACACATAATCTGAGTAAATCCTCTAAAGTCTGAATAGTCCTCTCTGATTGACCATCTGTTTGAGGGTGAAAGACTGTACTGAAAGTAAGTCTAGTGCCCATTGCCTCTTGAACCTTCGAGGTGAATCTCCCATCTCTATTTGATACTATCGATCTTGGTACACCAAGAAGTCTAACAATCTCATTAACATAAACACTTGCCAACTTCTCAACAGCATCAGATTGCTTGATAGGTAAAAAGTGTGCCGACTTGATTAACCTATCAATTATCACCCATATAGCATCATGACCATTTCTGGACCTGGGTAATCCAACTACAAAATCTATGGCTATGTCTTCCCACTTCCATTCCGGTATGGGTAAAGGCTGCAATAAACCTCCTGGCTCTTGATATTCTACCTTAACCATCTAGCAAACTGTACACTTAGCCACCATTTCTGCTACACTTCTCTTCATCCCTGGCCACCAAAAGTATCCCTTCAAATCTTGGTACATCTTGCTACTTCATGGGTGAATTGTATAGCTTGAATAGTGAGCTTCCTGAAGAATGTCCTTCCTCAAATCTCCAACATCAGGGATACAAATTCAGCCTCTATATCGCAGTAGCTCATCCTCATCAAGCTCAAACTTCACGTGCCCTACCTTCACCAAATTTAGGACTTTCTCAAATTCTGCATCTTGTGGAAAATCTTCCCTTATCCTATCCTTCAATGTTGACTGAATGGTCATCTGATTCAAGGCCACAAACTCTGCATCATTGGGCTGAACTACAGAAATCTCTAACTTCTTCAAATCTCTGATCAACTCATACTATTGTGTACTCATCCAACTGGCACTAGAAGTCTTCCTGCTTAAGGCATCTGCTACTACATTTGCCTTACCTGGATAATATTGGATGTCCAAATCATAATCCTTGATAAGCTCCAACCATCTCCTTTGCCTCAAATTCAACTCTTTCTGAGTGAAGATGTATTTTAAACTTTGATGATCAGTGAATACTTCACACTTAACCCCATACAAGTAATGTCTCCATATCTTCAGGGCAAAAACCACTACAGCTAACTCCATGTAATGGGTTGAATAGTTTCTTTCATGATTTTTCAGTTGCCTTGAAGCATAGGCAATGACCCTTCCATTCTGCATCAATACACAACCCAACTCTTTGTGAGAGGCATCACTATAAAGCTGAAATACAGCCGTCCCTGAAGGAATAGTAAGCACTGGAGCAGTCATCAAACACTGTTTCAATCTTTGAAAAGCCTCTTCACATTGATCTGTCCATACAAACTTCACTACCTTTTGGGTCAATCTAGATAAGTGCATAGCTATTCGAGAAAACCCCTCAACAAATCTTCTGTAGAAACCAGCCAAGCCCAAAAATCTCCTGATCTCCGTCACAATAGTGGGCCGTAGCCAATCTGCTATAGCTTGTACCTTGTGCTGACCCACAGAAACCTCTCCATTACTGATCACATGTCCCAAAACGTTCACACTCTTCAACCAAAACTCACATTTGGAGAAGTTAGCATACAATTCATTTCCTTTCAATGCATTTGACGCCATCCTCAAGTGATTTGCATGAATCCCTTCATTTGGGGAATACACCAATATATCATCGATGAACACTATCACAAATAGATCCATAAATGGCTTGAAGATTCTGTTCATAAGGTCTATAAACATTGCAAGGGCATTTGTAAGTCCAAATGGCATCACCACAAATTCATAATGCCCATATCTAGTATTGAACGCTGTCTTTGCTATGTCCTCTTCTCTGATCTTAAGTTGATAGTATCCTGATCTCAAGTCTATCTTGGAAAACACAAAGGCACCTTCCAACTGATCAAACAAATCATCAATTCTCGGAAGAGGGTATTTATTCTTTATTGTCAGCTTGTTTAATTCTCTGTAGTCTATGCAAAGCCTTAAACTTCCATCCTTCTTCTTCACAAAAAGCACAGGAGCACCCCATAGAGAAGTGCTAGACCTGATGAATCCTTTACTAAGCAACTCTTCCAATTGATCTTTCAGTTCCTTCAGCTCTTTTATTGCCATCCGATAAGGGGCTTTAGCAACAGGATCCGCTCCACTAACCAACTCTATAGTAAAATCAATCTCCCTACTTGGAGGCAAGTCAGATAATTCATCTGCAAACACTTATGGATACTCTTGAACAACAGGTATCTCCTCTAATCTCCTCTTTTCTTTTTTCTCCTCCTTAACATAAGCTAGAAAGCCTTCATGACCCTTCCTCAACAATTTATATGCCACCAAAGAAGAGACTATCATAGAAGTTATGCCTCTTTCCCCTATGAATTTAAATTCTCTCCCCTGGCATATAAAATTTAAGTTCTTTCTTATTACAGTTTATGGTCACAAAGTGACAAGACAACCAATCCATACTTAGGATCACATCAAATTCCGTCAAGGGCAATAACATAAGATCTGCACCCAAATTTCTATCACCTACACTCATCTCCACATGACACCCCTTGTTGGTTTCCAACTGACTCCCATTGGGCATCAAAACTGATAAAGATTTGAGCATTATTGAAGAAGACAAACCAGCAGACTTAACAAACTCCTCCGAAATGAAAGAATGCGATGTTCCCGTATCAAACAACACCTTAACAGGCTTGTTACATACAAAGATTGTTGCTAAATACCGTGCATGTAACATAACATAAAGCTCATTTTACTCATACAGCATAAAGGAATTCATTGACAATAAATAAAGTTCATACCTGTGATAACATCAGGAGAGACTTTTGCTTCTTGTGGGGATAGACCATAAACCCTCGGCTGAACAGGTTGTCGAGCTTGGCCTTGAGTTGGAGTTGATGCAGTAGACTCTACCATCCTTGGCCTTCCAACTGTCCTCTGAGGAGCACTATCTGTTCTGGCCTCTGGAGTAGACTTTTGTCCCAAGATAGGGCAAGACTTTGCCATGAGCCCTGGCTGATGGCACCAGAAACAGGTATTTGTGCCAGAAAGGCACTCTCCCTTATGAGCCCTCCCACACTTATTGCACATAACAGGAGTGCTGCTCTCTGAAGTGTTGGGCTTGGGCTTCTTCCAATTAGATCTCCCAGATTGAAAAG